CAGATATCGAGATGCACATCATCGTGACGCTTTTCTCTCTCTCTCTCTCTCTCACATGCAATCTCGCTAACTACACGCGGACCATTATATCCCTCTAACTCGTTCGGCGTGCACTCGAATCATTTACCAACACCGTCACGGAGATATTTCATTGGCGTGCGCGCACGCCGCCTTGTTACATTGCCTCTATTTAAGCCGCGTGCAAACTTTCGGGAGCACGCGCGCATTTAAGCTGACGCGGGTGCACGTACGCGGGTGTTCCATTTTTTGCACGCGATAGCATTAACGAGAGACTTTTGTCGCGCGTGCAGTAACTCGCAGATGATAGAGCACGCGCGATGTTATAAAAAAAGACCTATCGGTATCGGACTTTTGACATCGCTGAAAAAAGAAACTGTGCCTGTCGCGCAACGATGTATAATTACACGGTAATTAATAGTCACATTGCAAAAACTGTCAGAAGAAAAAATGATTTTTTATATCGCGGAAAAATTTGTACACGAAACATATTATATGCGAACGAGGAGAATGTGATTCTTGTTTGATATATCTAATTGTAAATCAGAGTGTCTACTCAAATCTTGCAAAAAGATTCCCTGACAATTCCGTGATCTTCCAGGTATTTTTGTTCAAAATATCAGGTAAAGAAAATATTTTAGATTTTTTCATTTCCTAAAATAAGTTTTTTATTGTACGTTTCTAATGCTTTTCTTTTATACGACAGGGAAAACACAAACTAAATTTCAAGTGCTAGATTTACAACTGTACTAAAAAAAATTGAATAGTTTTCGTTAAGATAAAAATTTTTTATTTGTATAGTATTTTCATTTTTTATCACTAAAAATTAAAATAAAAGATATGTACTGCAAATTCAATATTTTGTTAAAATATTGAATATATATAAAAAGAGATAGATACATATTTATAATATATTTTAAACACATAATTCATAACTTGGCAAAGTGCAGACTGCTTACAGTATAAGAAAATTATTAAAGAGAGAATTTTTAAAAAAATCCTAAGTCCCAATCAAATTCCATGAAAATTCTCTGATTTCTCCAGTTACAAAAAAATTCCTTGAGAATTCCAAATTTTCCATGTTTTTCCAGGGAGTAGACACCCTGAACACCGCTAAAAAAAACTATGCTTCTCGCGCAACGATGTATAATTATATGACCAAATAAATTAATAGTCACATTGCAAAAACTGTCAGAAGAAAAAATGATTTTTTATATCGCGGAAAAATTTGTACACGAAACATATTATATGCGAACGAGGAGAATGTGATTCTTGTTTGATATATCTAATTGTAAATCAGAGTGTCTACTCAAATCTTGCAAAAAGATTCCCTGACAATTCCGTGATCTTCCAGGTATTTTTGTTCAAAATATCAGGTAAAGAAAATATTTTAGATTTTTTCTTTTCATTTCCTAAAATAAGTTTTTTATTGTACGTTTCTAATGCTTTTCTTTTATACGACAGGGAAAACACAAACTAAATTTCAAGTGCTAGATTTACAACTGTACTAAAAAAAATTGAATAGTTTTCGTTAAGATAAAAATTTTTTATTTGTATAGTATTTTCATTTTTTATCACTAAAAATTAGAATAAAAGATATGTACTGCAAATTCAATATTTTGTTAAAATATTGAATATATAGAAAAAGAGATAGATACATATTTATAATATATTTTAAACACATAATTCATAACTTGGCAAAGTGCAGACTGCTTACAGTATAAGAAAATTATTAAAGAGAGAATTTTTAAAAAAATCCTAAGTCCCAATCAAATTCCATGAAAATTCTCTGATTTCTCCAGTTACAAAAAAATTCCTTGAGAATTCCAAATTTTCCATGTTTTTCCAGGGAGTAGACACCCTGAACACCGCTAAAAAAAAAACTATGCTTCTCGCGCAACGATGTATAATTATATGACAAAATAAATTAATAGTCGCATTGTAAAAACTGTCAGAAGAAAAAATGGATTTCTTACATCGCGGAAAAATTTATACTCGGAACATATATGCGAAAACGAGGATGATATGATTCTTGATGAAATTTATCTATAGATTATAGAACATACGTCAGCGTTAGATTATAGGTGATTAATGTAGCGCATAAGTATCGGTTGGATAAAACGTGATCCTTAAATAGCAAGCAGGCGTTACAGATGATATGATTTGTTAGCTTTATTATTATTCCTATAATTTGATAATCATATGGGAAAACACGCTAATCTTAACGTACATATACAACGTCACGTCTGAAATTTGATGCATATTAGGCAAAAGTAGGCCATTACTTTTAGGTCAGACATATCCGGTTAAAACCTATTACTGTGGTCGACTTAGAATTCCGAGAGCTTCACGTGGAACAATATTTACAAGTTATTAATGAGATACGTAATTGACCCTTCAATTTACATGATTGAAAACACGTTTTCCAAATCATTAAAAAATAAGCGCGTTTTATTTTGTGATAATAAAAATAATCGAAAATTATAGAAACATCGGGGGCATTTTTGAATGAATCACTATACTGCCTATTCTCGCTTCGGAAATGGTGCTTAATGAGTGGCCCCGAGTCGACTCATCGCCTGTTTACTCAACTGTGTGTGTACGCGACTTTATATGCTACTTTCGTATACAATCGCCACGCCGTCCATTAACGGCAACTTGCGACGAGAAAAGAAAAAGGCGATTTTTCACGTCCAAGAATTTTTGCCGCTTAATAGAAATATTTAACGTACAGGTGTCTCGAAAAAATTTGCGCTGCAATATACGTAAAGCGTGTGAAAACAAGAAATGAATAACTAATTGCTTGGGAAATAACGTTACATTACATTATAAACTCTTGCGCAATAATTACTCGAGCTAAACAAGACCAGGATGTTATTTTAACATTTCAGCATAATATTTTTGACGCATGTATTAATATAATCAATGCTGTTTTCTCGGTAAACTTTAGATGAACTCGATACGTATTTATTACATCGATACGTTGTGTTCCATAATTAAATTTCTGCACAATATGATTGAAAAATACAGAGCGTGTTTATCGTGAATTAAATTAGTTAAATTTAACGTGGAAACAAGCTCTCGCGGAGATAAAATTCGAGAGGGTTAAAACGAGCGAGTTTGTCTGACTCCGAAAGGATGATGCACCACGTCGGGGGACCCGATGTTCGAGTCGCACGGAATTTCGAGGATTCGAGAAAGAGAGAAAGACGACGGTTTTACGGCTGCTTGGCAACGAGGCCAGGCACCTAGCCAGACAAACCAGCCAACGGCAACCGGAGGCGCCTACCGCGGGTCCGACGATCCGTTGAGGTCAGAGCCCCTCTCACAAAGAAGGGCCCCTCCCTTGGCGCCCTCGAACGTTTATACAGGGTGTCCTATTGATGCCGATATACATGTATTACTGTCGCCCCGAGACGCCAAATGGTACCGGCGCATTTCAAAATTCGCTCGACCGAGTCAGCTGATGACACTGCAAACTAGCTTATCGTAAAAACTGGTAAAAATACTCGACTGATAAAAAACGCTAGCGTTATGTCTATTAATATTTATTTAAACGAGAGATTTTCAACAGCATATTTCGCTAATTGTAAGTTGTATCATTCGAATAATCATTCAAATTCATTTCGAAATTAACTAAAAAAATGTGAATAAAATAAAATAAATTATCTTTAAGAAAAATATTGAAATCTGAAAATAATTTTGAAATTAATATTAAAAAAAAAATATTGCGAATATATCAAGGTTTGCAATGGATAAAGTGCTTAAAGAAGCTATTATAGTAACATAAATATAGATTGATTGGAATTTCTATTAAACGTGACAATAAATAAATGCCATTTATTTTATTACGCTTTATGCACTTGTATGTGAAAAGCATCGCTTACGAACTGACACACAATAATCGATGTTTTCGTATCTAAAAAAAATTGAATTTATAATTATAAATGATAATAAATGACAAATGTATACCGTTCAAACTGCAAACTTCGAAAATTAGTCGAAAATCTATGATCTTATTATCGCAGCACGAATATATGTTACGATACGCTAATAATTAAATCATTCATTAGATCTCTCGACAGATAATGACTATAATAAATAAAATATAGTTGAATCACAAGGTTTAAAGATAGAAATGTATTTTTTTTCAATGGCAAGATAAAATAATTATATATATTTCTGGTTTCAAAGTGCAAATTAAAAACTCATTAATAAATAACAATAAAAAAAATAAGACGACTTCAGAGTACAAGGTCGGGATATTAATAGAAAACACTAGCAGCTGTCACACAATACACACACACACTTAACAGTGATTTCAATTTAGGTAATGGCCGTTACGGTATTGGTCTCTTATATCCAAGGTTTTTGTCACAAATATTATTATCAATTTAATTAAATATTATTGTACTAGTTGTTAATAATAAGATATTTTTAGCCGAATTGATGTCCAAGGTTCTGATCAAACATGTACTCGTCAAGAAACAATAACAATACGTCGCGATTTCGAATTGTCAAATGTTCGAAGTACTATGCGTTCTCTGCATTCGCCAGCGTGAATTTCGAGATACACTACGCTTCTAGTTTTGCCATGCTACGTTAATTTCGTCATCGGGGAGACGACCTATGACCGACTTGCGACATCCAACATCGAGATGTTTCGCATGCCGAGACCGAAGCCAGTTTTGCATTCCTCGCGATCGCGTCGCTTTGTAACGATCGGGCTGGGAAAAACCGTTTATCGCTCGTAAACAAATCTCGAAACGCCGTACCCGGCAAAACGGGTCGGGCCGTGAACGCCGGGCCAGTTTTACAATTGCAAATTTAAATCGTAAATCGCGAATTGCGCGAAGCGAACATGTTGACGGTTGCGCGCACACGCCGGTGACGTTTCTCGTAAAAACCGCGGGAACGATGGAAAAACGTGCGGATTCGAAAAAAAAAAAAAAAAAAAAAAAAAAAACACTTCATGTACTCACCCATATGAGCGAGATCGATGATCGGGATCTCGCACTTGCTGAGAAGAGTCTCGCAAGTCTGCGTAACCATAGACGCGCTGGTGCAGCAGCTCATTCTGACAACTGTCCAAGTCTCGTCTTCTCGGAAATCAATCGATCCCTTTCGAACACCGGACGCCCTTTCCTTCTCCCTCTGTCTACGACGATCTCGTATCAACTCACTCTCAACTTTCTCTCTCTCTCTTTTTTTAATCGCCGTTTGCGAGATCGACAGCAAAGGAACAAGCCGTTACTTCGCGCGCGATCGACTCGGCCACCCGGTATAGGGGCTCGCTACAGGAGACTCACTGGAATATCCAAGAGATCATACTATCACTGCACACATGATCATCCGACGCGAACGATGAGTGAAAACGTGAGCGTATTCTCTATCACACGCGAAAGCGAGAATTGCGAAAATATGGTTATCCGTCTAACGGTAGCCGTAAGATACGAGTTTATTGCACGAATGACGATACGGTAAATAGTATACGTGATTCCGGACTAGTGGGCACATGCTACGACGGCGAAATGGCGGTCGAAAGCGATCACTCGGCCCTAACTCCAAATACCGCAAGTGAGAACCGAACTATACCAATACACGGCTGTTCGCGAACTGCCGAACGATTATTCAAGCGCTGAGCGGCTGAGCTCGGGGTGCCGCGCGTCGCCGAACGACCCCGAGCGCCACCGAACGGCCCCGAGCGCTAACGAACGATCCCGAGCGCCACCGAACGGCCCCGAGCGCTACCGGCGGCCCCGAGCGCCGCCGAACAGACCCGAGCGCTTCCCAGCTGTTCCGAAACTTGTGCCAGGGAACGCATGAGAATCAGCGCGCGAAAAATTTACTAGTATATATACGCGGATTATATTCGACGTATCTATGTGTTTATTTTTTTAAAGGATCTGGTGCTAAAGCTGGCTCTACATTAAGACAATCAAAATTAGTAATTATATTTGCATTGTAGATGGCGACGAATTATGCGCGATTAACGCGTCTTAAGCGTTTCCGATAAAAGTGATCTTTCTCAATCTGTGTATTATTGCGGTATCTAATTAAATTCGTTTCAATAGTATTGTTATGATTTTTTAAATGATTATATTGTACGAAAATTATTTTTAAAGTTCTTGTAAATACCTGTTTTAAAAATGCGCGTTTAATTTATATAAGTATCCTCGTTATCCATATTGTCTTATCTATTTTTTCTAATATTTATAATTTTATTATTAGTTGATATGAACATTGCAAACATATGTTATCATTGGATATATTTTCAAATCCGTTCTATTTAAATATGACATATTAACCGAGCAAAGAGGGCAATATCTATGCGAGATTGACATATGTAGCTTATCTATCTGTTTGTTTTTTTTTAAATGTGTGTGGTTTTTTTTTTAAACGGAAGACTGTTGCTCGACGAAATAACGATGTCTTGTTATTATTTTCATAATATCCGTTATCGAAATGTCGATGTTTTTGTATCAAGTTTAATTTAATTGTGCGTGAAGCACACATTTAAAGATATCATTATATACTATTTATACACGAAGTAAATTCTGTTTTTTTTTAATAATTTTTTGTTTTATAATGTTTTATAATGTTTATATTCTTACTCTTTGTAATTTTTTATTTCAAAATTTTTATCTTTTTTAGATAAAGTAATTAATAAAAATGTATGCTTATCAAGAAATTGTAATATAATATTTTTTCATATATATGCATTGTATACTTAAAAAGTTCGTTTTTTAAAATAAAATTATAAAATATAATATAATCAAAATCGTAAATATTAAGCTAAAATATTAAATTCTTTTTCCCAAGAAAAATATTGAGTTAATAGCATTTTATCCATCATTATTAGTTTATCAAAACTATAATTTTATTTATGTTGATAACTTTGGATTACTGTCAAACTAATTACGACATTTTTCCAGGAATTTTCAGCTTGCGAAAGCTGATAAAACACAATAAAAGAAACAAGTTCCAAAAATTATGTATCATAAATCTCTAAACTATTAATATATTTAATACAAAGTAACGATTAAATAATTTTGATGATGGTATATTGAAGAAAGATAGAAAAATGATAATTATTTATAAAAATTCAAATTAAATAACTATATATATAACATTTTAAATAAAATAGGAAAAATAAATAAGGAAAATAAATTTGGAATTAAAAAAGTCTCACAAAGCGCATTAATGATGAAATATTATTAATTAGATATTTTAAATAATCAATGTTAAAGATTGAAAAACGGAATTATCATAAATATTAGAAAATACAAGAAATTTTGTTTGAATAAATTTAATAAACAGATTCGAGTTACAAGCACTTAAATAGCAATAAGACGAAGTCATTCGTCACTATTTGATGTTTGTAAAACTATACTAATTATAAGTTTCTATGTTATGTAGGTCAATAAATCTTTAATTTCACAAAAGAAAGTTACTTATCCCTAAGCCATTTATTTTATGTGTGCGTATACTTGTGCCTATGCGGTGACATGACTTACCTCTGATCATTGCAATTAGTATCTTACCGTTAATGCGCAGTTTATCAGAAAGAACCGTCGTTATAATGGCTATGTGGATCTATGAATTATTAGCACAGCAGGAA